TTGATTTCTTATTAAATTAAATACAGATTAATTTAACAACTATTTAAAATTAAATTTGAAAGTGACAACCTATATTAATTTAAATTATTTGAATAGATGTAGGCCTTAAGTACAAAAAATATTAAGGAGTAGGTTTGCTGCCAAATTTTAAAGAAAGTCAGACCACTGAACTGGAGTTTGCTGAAGTGCTAAATCAGCTTTTGACAGCAGTAGCCTCTTCTGCAGGTCCAGAGAGAATATTCAGTTTAATCAGCTAGTTCGATTCAATGACTAGTTCATGTAAAGTTAAGAAACCAACTGGGAGTTGAAAAAGCAGAAAAATGGTTTTCCTCTTCCAAACTATGAATAAAAACTAGGTGTGAAAGGATGAAATCTACTAGTTTTAAAATCCTGAAGAACACGGTGATCAGAAACAATCAGTTTAGGTCACGAACTACAGATCATACTTTGTTTAATAAACCAGTTTGTTTTAAATGCATGTTGTTAAACTTTTTTTCTTATGTATGTATGAACAGTTTTAAGGTAGTTTTATTTAATAAAAAAATTAAAATGCCACTTTAGGGCATTTTTAACTGAATTTGAATTTCCATCCAAATTAGCTTCTGTGATAGATGTGCACCCTCCTGGTTAGCAAAAAGCAGGGTGGATAAAAATCAATGATTTTTTTTTAAATCAGATTTTTTTGATAAAATGCTTTTTGAGGAAAAAACCTATCTAAAGATAGTTTTAATTAAGATACATTATAGCTCAAAGATATCTAATAATGGAATAGGGATTATAAATTCTAATTCTATTGTATGAGACAATATATTCATGTAATGTTTAAAAAAAGTTTTGTAAATGAGTTCCAATAGGTCATGGATTAGGGACCCAATCTTATGGGGGGGTGGGGGGGGAGGTTTCCCAGGGGCTTCTCTATAGATTATTTGGGTTAATCTTTCTATCTACCCTTCCAGACTCAGTCTAGAAGATATCATCAGAGATGCTTAGTTTTGCATTTCTCAAACTGTGGATTTGTGTCTCCAGATATAACATGCTTGTTAACAGCAAAAATGTTTTAAAATAAATAAATAATAAATAGAGGTGAGAAATAACAGACCTCAACCCTATTGTCCCTCTGCAAATTTGGGCACACAGAGTCAATCCCTTTGCACTTTTAGAAAGAGGTAAGTTTCAAAAAGTTCAATGAATAGAAGATTGTTTGGGGAGGAATAGATCTGGATAAGGAGAAGAAGTCTGGAGATAAATGTGAGAAGGGACGGACAGGCAGTAGAAACAAAAGTGAAACTGTTTGAGCAGCATATTCCAGAAGTCTTGAGGTCTTTCTGAGTGTAGCCTTCATTGATTTGAGGTCTGCCATACCATTCTCTCACTAGAAGGAAAAGCCTATAATGGCAGCAGGCCGTAAAAGAGACCCAGTTTGGGAATATTTTAATGAAGTTCTTCTGCCTGTTGGTAAAACAGGCATGCATGCAAAATGCAAAAAGTGCAACAAAGAAATGCAAAGCCTCGTTGCCCGAATGAAACAACATCATGAGAAGTGTTCCTTCTCAGGAGGAAGCTGCGTTGAAGATGATGAAAGGAACATGTCTGAACATGCAGGCTCTTCAGGTTGGTAACAACCAACAAGAATGCACTTTTATGTAGAAATCCATGATTAAATCCAATTTTCCTGACTAGTGATTTAAATCAAATCGACCTTGGCAAAAAGAAGCACCAAATTTATTGTGAAGGCTACATTTAGTTGCAAACAACATGTTTTAATGGTTCCAACGAATGAGAATCAATCTCTCTTCCGGCAAATAACTAGACAGTACAAATGCAAAACCCAATTAAAATCAGTGATTTAAGATCACTTTGCTTTAGCTCAATCCACCCTGTCTTCTGTTATGGGTCCCATCCTTCAAGGGGCTCCACTGGACCCTTGTATGGAGTTTGATTAGTGAAATACAGTATTTCCCAATGGAAAATTTTAAACACATTGCTCAAGTCTGCCTCATAATAGCAGCAGCAACAAATATGAAATGCTGCTCTTTCTAGTTAATTTGGACTAGATACATTCTACACACAAATTACTAGAAAAGAACACTAAAGCAACTAACCTAGTGACAAAAATATAATACATAAAATCGGTGAAATAAATACATCCAACTAATGCATTTCTCATTAACATATTTAAATGTGAACTATTCCTAACAACCAAACTGTAGTCATCCTTAACTTCACCCTGTAATATAAAAGTGAAAAAAAAAAATCCACTAATGATGCAGAAAAAAACCTTATAAGGGTGGTCTGACAATTTACACAGCATTAATTTATAGATTATTATTTCCATGTGGATCTTTACAGTGGGATTTTTCTACACTTGTCTACTGAAGTTAAAATCTCAAATTTGAAAGCTTTGTTTTTCTTATTCGATTACATATTGGTTTTATAATGCTCATCATAAAATGCAACATATGATTATTTTTAATGTGCAAGGAAATTACAAGTCTCAAGGGCTACCACCACCAAATACTTTTAATTAACTTATCAAAAGGAATAATACAAGGACTCTAAATATTCAAAGTGCAGTATTTCCATTCTGGTATAATTCTAGTTCTCTGAAATTTCTATAATTCTCTGAAATTTCCCAGGTTCCCTACACTACAAATTGCTGTAAAACTCTAACAAAGAAAAAGACATTTATGATTTTAAAAAATTCAATACTGCCAAGGAATCCCAGGAACAAAAGTTGGTAAAAGGGTCACTTCCTGAAGCATCAACTACGCATACTTGAAAAATCAAAAAAACTACGATAAGCAATTTATAATATGTCTCATTTCAATGTGAATGGAAAAGGTGTAGCTTTGAAAGCTGTATTTGTACACCAGTAAGATCTCCAGCCACTAACTTGTAACTAGCAGAAAACTAACACAGTATTAAAATAAAAAATTCAAAAAAAAAATCAGAAATATGGTTTTCTTCATAAAAAGTATCAGAGGGGTAGCCGTGTTTGCCACTTTCACTGATCCAGGCTAAGAGTCCTGTGGCACCTTATAGACTAACAGACGTATTGGAGACATATTGGAGCATAAGCTTTCGTGGGTGAATACCCACTTCGTCAGTATTCACCCACGAAAGCTCATGCTCCAGTACGTCTGTTAGTCTATAAGGTGCCACAGGACTCTTTGCCGCTTTCATAAAAAGTGTTTATGCATAAAGCCAATAGTTGTAGATTTCTAAAACAGACTACACAAAAATTCAGTGAAAGCTGACAATTCATTGAGACAGATACCTCAACAAATGTTCCTACGAATACATTCTATATAAGAAATAAAGAACTACTGAAGCCATACCACTTAAAAATAGGTGTTCCTACAAAGGTTAGGTCAAGCACCTGTGGTGTGAATGGGTAAGGAGGAAACGGATGGCTGCTCACTGAAAAAAATTTGGGAAAAGAATTGGCACTACCGTATGTTTCTCATCCAGGAGTGGAATGTGTTATTTCCCAGCCCTTACAGACCTTAATTCAAGAATACATATAATTTTTTTAAATGGCCATCCCAAAATAACTTTTGGAGTGTTAGTATCAATTTTAACAAAATGGTTATTTTTATTTGTGAATCAAAATGTTCCTCTGATTCAGTTCCACAGTTAAATTTTGCAAACCTGGATTGCCAGATGCAGCTGAATCTTACTGCAAATACCTTTACGTCAGGGGTGGGCAAACTTTTTGGCCCGAGGGCCACATTGGGGTTGCAAAACTGTATGGCGGGCCGGGTAGGGAAGGCTGTGCCTCCCCAAACAGCCTGGCCCCATGCCCTATCTGACCCTTCCCACTCCCCACCTCCTGACTGCCCCCCTCAGAACTCCCGACCCATCCAACCCCCCTGCTCCTTGTCCCCTGACCGCCCCCTCCGGGACCCCCACCCCAACAACCGCCCCCCCCCCCGGATTCCACCCCCTATCCAACGCCCCCTGCTCCCTGTCCCCTGACCGCCCCGACCCCTATCCACACCACTGCCCCCTGACAGACTCCCTGGGACTCCCATGCCTTTCCAACCCTCCCTGTTCCCCCGTCCCCTGACTGCCCCCCCCCTGAATCTCCACCCCATCCAACTGCCTCCGACAGGCCCCCCAGGACTCCCACACCTATCAACCGCCCCCTGCTCCCTGTCCCCTGACTGCCCCCCGGGACCCTCCGGCCCCCTTACCAGAGCAGCATGTCTGGCAGCCGTACCACCCGGCCAGAGCCAGACACTCTGTCGCGCTGCCCTGCAGGAGCGCGCAGTCCCGTCGCCCACAGCGCTGCCTGCAAGGCGGCGTGGCTACAGGGAGGGGCCACAGTGAGGGAGGGGCCGGAGGCTAGCCTCCCCGGCCGGGAGCTCAAAGTCCGGGCAGAATGGTCTCGCGGGCCGGACGTGGCCCGCAGGCCGTAGTTTGCCCACCTCTACCTTATCTTTTATATGTTGCTATTAAACAAACAACTGCTATGGCTTTCAAACTTGGAATTTTGTTGTCCTGTGTACTGTACAATAAATACAACACCAAGATAAACCTAGTTCAACTTAAAATCTAACTCTACAAACTTTCCCAGCAAGCAAATTATTTTTGTGATGAACATTCAGAGTAACATTGAAAAGAAAGAAAAAGAGGATATAATTATTAAACCCCTAATTCCTGAAAGTAAAATGACTTTTCCATATGCTTACAAATTGGTCTGAATCATTTTGTGTAGTAGATCTCTATTGAGTCTTCATATTTTCCCCTTATGTAATCTGTTGTAGTGTGCTTTATAAACAGAATACCAGTAATTTTCTTACACCCATAGATGAACAAATAAAATTACTTTTCTTCTATACTGTGTACGTGAAATGAAGTCTGCTATGAAAACCGAAGGTTACAAATGACAGAGAAAAGATGACCAACTTTAAAGAAAAGTCAGCTCATTTAAATTACAATGCTGAATAGCTATATTTCTAATATTTTAATAAAATTAGAAATAAAACTACTCTTACCTCAAATAGCCATTAGAAAAAACAGGTCTGCCAGAAAAGTTCAGGGTTCCCAAGGGGGTCATATTGTCATCCCCAGATCCCTGGCACCTATTCCAATTTTCTGAACCAGCAGGAAGAGATGGAATGACATTAAAAACTGGTTTCTGATCCTGCTGTTGAGAGAGAGATGCGGTATTCAAGTCATAATGATATAACTGTCCTCCAGAAGTACTGACGCCATGGACAGAAATGGCAGACATTTTATTACCCATTAGGTTAGACCCAGAAAAATTAGCTTGACAATAAACTGGGCCCATTTTCTCTTGTTTTATTACCCCGGGGGTGCAGAGTTCAATGAAGTCTTCCTTTTCTGTCTTCACTTGAGGCATCTGCATTTTGGGGCTGGGTGAAAGATCTCCATGCTCATTAATTTTAGGCTTAGTGTCTGGTAAAATGGGAGGCTTGCAATCTTCACTTGCATTTCCTTCAAGGAGAAATGCCTCATCCGCAGTCATAGGAGACAACAAATCCCCTTCATCTAGCAATGGGTCCAGTCTCCATGGGCTCCCATTTGGTTCCTTACCTGGCGACACTGGTGGCAATTCTAAATCCTGCAGAATATCAAAGGTGCTTTGGTCTTCAGAAAACAATTTCAAGTTGCCACCATTAGTGCCAGCCTGGCCTAAAGGGAGACTGCTGTTAGCCATAATTGGGAAGTCCTGCTCAAGGGGCACCGCAACAGATACTGTCCCCTTTGAGCCCTCTGCCAGGCTTGAGGACTTGTTCAAGCTTGCAATGCTTTCTTCCAAGAGCCTGAAATCTGTCTCCCCAGAAGAGATGCCAATTTGGCCCTGCTGTGGAAATCCAAGTTCATTTCCCATCACTTTTGACTCTGTCTCCCCCATATAGAGTCCCATTGAGAGCAACACTGCCTTTGAAAGATCCGGCTGAGGCGCATTGCTTACTAGTCCTTTTGAGAAGTCACCCAAAACAGACTGCTGTTTAGAATCCGACTGAGAAGACGCAGGCAGGGGAGATGTAGATGCAGGAGCCCTGACAGTAGCTCCACCCCTGAAGGTTGGACGAAAGTCCATCACAGTCCTTCCTTTGTCACTGAAGTGCACATTTTTCCCTGCTTCCTCCCCATCCGAGGGGCTTAGTGATTCTTTGGGGTCCATTATTTTAACACTGGCTATTAAAAGAAGAAAGATATTTGTGCAGTTAGCACAGTAGTAAATGTTTTCACAACACAAGAAACGCAGATTAGCAGCATGGTGAACCTAGTTTAGCCACAGCAGATTGATTTTACACAAGCCTAACATTTCTTGCTGTCACTGAACAAATTTGACTGCTGGTAACTATAACATTGACTATATTTAAAAGCTTTTCTGAACTCTGGTTCTGTAGTAATAGCAGGCAAACTGACTTTTCCCCCCGCCCTCCCTCAAGATTAATTTTTCACAATTCCACCTATCTCAGCTATTTATCTGTCCAATAAAAGGAATATCAGATTAATAATGTCTTTAATTAACTAAGTTACAATTGCTTATGTGTGTTTTTTTAAAACCTTAATTAGGCTTGCAATGCACTTTTCTTTTTTAGAAGACAATATATTATTACAACCTCCCTTTCCAAATCAATCTCCCCTTTTTCTGGAGAGTTCAGATGCATCTGCTGGCATGGGTAAATCACTGTTAGAATTCTCCACCTGCTTCCTCACAAATTCCCCACTGCCTGACTAGACACACAACCCAATTGTATTACTACCGCTCTCTGATCTACTACTGTAACCTTTCCATCAGAAATTATGTATGTATATATATAAAAGATGGAAAGTTTGCTAACTTCTGATCAGATGATCACTGCTCCCAAAGAGTTCTCAAATGTAACTTATACACCCTGAAATCTGAACACAAAATGGAAGCTTTTAAAAAAAAAATTACAACCCTCATTTCCTGATCTTCCAATAAACATCTAAAGGAAAAATAAAGTCTTATTTTGATTACATCCAACACTACTATGTAAATTTCAACCATGCATATTTCCTTCCTTAAAATTTGTGCTTATGATCAGTTTCATTGCCGTTCACTTAAGGTGTTGAAATAATTAGCGTAGTATGGTCTCTTAAAGTGTCCATAATAAATTTACATCCATCTTAATTTTAAACCCTCTTCACTTTGGGGCCCATGCTGATCAGGAAAATAAGACACCCTGCTATGTCTGTATGAAGAAGTTCATGCTTTCTGTACACAAAAAGTTCAGACTGCAATCAACAATCAATAGGTGCTCTTATGTGCAAAAATATTTTCAAATGTCAAGTTAAGGCAACACGGATTAAAATGTAATTGTATGGATGAACCCTCCCGCCCTAGAAGTTTAAAAGAATGAGCTTTCTTATGCCCCAAATAAAGTTAACATAAAGCATTAAAATACGATTAACAGTGCACAGAAGAATCTTCTAGCTTCCCCTCACCTTGCAGGGTGTTTAGGTGAGAACATGTACGTACATACGTACGTACACACACACACATACACACAAATGCTGCCTATTGTATTTCCACGCCGCTTTCCTGACAGCTGCCGCCGAACTCGAAACCAAATCAGCGAGTGCAAAACTGAAACGAGTCCTTCAGCAACATCCTCTCTTTTAAAGTTGAAAACAACACTGAAATATTATTCAGCCATTTAAAGTAAACGCCACAAAATAAATCGGGGAAAAAGCAGGTTCTGGTGGTGGTGGGAGGTGTGGGGGGGAGCAGAAGAGGTGGGCTGGGGGGAGCAGTAGAGAACTGGAGTTACTGCATTTCACAGGTTTGCAAAAACCCAATGTCATAACGCAATACACGGCCAAAATAACCAGCATGCCAAAAAAACCTAGCAGCACGATTCGATTTAACTGGGAGGAAGAGGGATGGGGGGGGGGGGGAGGGGAAATCCGCTAATATTTATACTCGTTGAAGTGAAATAAATCCCCCTTTGCGAAGAGCAGTTTTCAGAGGAGAAAGGTGTGGAGGAGACCTGTTGGGCTTTCTCCTGGCACGCCCACTTCTGCCAAACACCACCAGCGCCTGCTACAAAAGTCGCCAACTCGGGCGCTTTCCAGCCCCTCTCGGCTCTTCCCTTTCTTTGCCGCCCAACCCCAGAAAAAGATCAAGCCATCAGCCACGTTTGTTGGTTGGAAGGGAATTCTTCATCGATCACAAGAACACCGAGCAATACAAATATATCAATAAAACCAAACAGAGCGGAGGGGATTCACCCCCCGCCCGCCCCCAATCCTCCGGGAGGAAATAACTCGCACAAATACAAAACCATCTGCTGTGTTCAAGAAGCACTTAAGTCGGCCTCTTAAAGGGGCTGGATCGGGCACGGGCTTGGCACGGCCGAGTCACCCCACTTGTCCCACCTCCAGACTGAACGATAACGATTTACAGTAAAGCGGCCCAAAGGAAAGGGACGCGGTTCCCAGTCCCAGCCCCGCCCCACGCTCTGACAGGCTCGGGGGAGGGGGCCGCGCTTGGCGGAGCTACCCCCCCCCTTCTGCCCGAGGACGCGACTCCCCACAGTTCCCAAAAAGTTTGAGGGGGTCACCAAAACGGGAGGCACTCCTCCCCCCGCGGCTCCCCTTCGGGGCTCGGAGCCCCCCTCCCCCCGGTCAAACTCCCCTTACCTTGTCCGGGGGGGGGCCCGCTGGCTCCTCTAGCCACCCACGTCCATGGCTCCCGCCGCGGCGGCGATCGGGGAGGAATAAACAAGTCGGCGCGCGGAAGGAAGAGCGGTGAGGGGCGAGCGGCAGCGGCGGAGGAACAGCCGCCCCTGCGAGGGGAGAGCCCGAAATCCCACCCGGCCCGAGCAGCCCCGCGCCCGAGTCTGCCCAGACACTCCTCCCGCCTTCCTCAGCCGGCGCTGGCGGCGCTCCGCAGCCTTCGCCCGCTCCCGTCTGCGCCTCACGCGCGGACGGACCGTCCCTCCTTGCCCCAGGCGGCCCGCGACTCTAGCCGCGCTCGGCCCCGCCACAAAATGGAGGACGGCGGCGGCCGCCTCCTCCCAGACGTGCGGCGGCGGGAGCGCACTCGGGCAGGGAGGCAGCGCTGCGCTCGCTCGGCGGAGAGGGGCAGTCAGCACTCACTCGTCCCCGCGGGGCAGAGCCGGGGAAGGACACGGGGGAACGGTGCAACCTGTTGGCTGAGCCGGCTGCCAACTGCGCCCCAACCACCCTCCCTCGCTCCCCTTCCCGGCTCCTACCCCCGCCCCGCCGCTACAAACTCCCCCTGCGAGCTGCTTTTCCTTCCCGCGGCTTCCTTCTCCTCGCTCCCCTTCCGTCCCTGCCCCCTCCCGCTGTTGGGACGGGGCCTCCGAGTCCTCAGCGCTGGCTGGGCGGGGGCTGGCCTGGCTGGGGGGCGGACAAGGCTGCTGATGGGGGGGCTGAGGCGAGGCGGAGCTGGCCTGGCGCATGGCTCGGGCTGGGTTGGGCAGCCCCTGGTTGGTCACGGGGGGGAAGCCACCGGCGGCCCCGTTTCTTCCCCTTTCCACTTGATCGTTTCCTGAGCTAAGGAGGGAGCCCGGGGCTGCTGCTCCTGGGTCTGCGGCGTGGCGACACCCGCCCGCCCGAGAGGTGGCTGGAGACCCCCGCTCCTAGGGGAGGTGGCAGAGACTCCGTCTTTTTGCGTGGGGTGGGGAAGAAGGTTGCAAGCGGCTTATATATACACACACACACACCCTTTTTTTTTTTTTGCACCGGAGAAGGCTGCCTGGTGATCACTTCTTTCTCTCCCTGTTACACTGGGGAAGGTTTTATCTTTCTGTCAGTTACTGTGTTTCCAGCATGCCTGTCACCAGGGTAGCTATAGAGCGGTGCGCAGATACAGAATTTGGATCCGCATCCAATCCGCAAAAATGACCCGCGGATTTGCAGCGCTCTAGGTATCTGAACATTAGCTCCTCTGCTCTATGTTCCTCATTAATCAGCTCCTTTTGGTAAGGTTGATCACTCCTTGCTCTTTCACATATTCTCTCACACAGGCATCCCTGGTTGTGGCTGCTCTGTCCTCTGATCCTATCTCACCTGCTGTTCCACCCGGTGGTTCCAACCCTTCTCTTCCCCTCCCTGCCACTGTCCCTCAGACTTCTGTCTTCAGTCCCATCCTCTTCTTCCTCCAGTCTTTCCCTGGGCAAACTCATCCATTCCTAATGTTTCAACTATAATCTCAATGCTAAAGGCAACCAAATCACTCTCTCTCTCTCTCTCTGCCACCTACTGTCTCTGCTCCTGGATGCTGCACCATCATCAGACCTCTCAGCTTAAACAAATTTTCTGTTCAAGTTAATTTTTTGTTTGTCTTCTGGACAGCTCCCACTTCTTCCTATTGGAGCTACCTACCAGTCAAGCCTGTCCCTGGCAGCATATTAACAGATCTTGCGGGGACAGGGAAATCAGTGATAGATGGTGGACTAAAGCTGTTTCAGCCCTAATATGTTTCTATCTTCAGTAGCACTAAAGAGCATTTCTTCAAAATAGCAGCATTACCACTCCTGCATGCTCCTGGTAGCAAGGGGCAGCATTGAAGAGGAAAGCCCAGAATAGGCGGTGCAATGGGGTAAATATGGGGACAATTCTGGGGTAGTAAAACTTGAGCTGAAGAGAATGAGAGTCCAAATCTTGGAGGGGGGATGTATGGGGCATAAAACATGGAGGAGGAAGATAAAAAATGATGCATGAAGGGTAAGATTAGGGGAGGGAAGAGAGTGGTAAAGAGGGTGGAGAGAAAGGAGCCTGGGGGAGAAATGGAGGACCTGACCCCTCATAAGCAATGACAGTTTAACCATTCTCATCAAGCAGGATTGCTCCCTTCCTACTAGAAATGGCCCCACCCTTTACAGAATCATTCTCTCCCTTCTCTGGGATCCTACGGATGTCCCTTTGAGTTGGGGCTCAGAACAGTTGTTGGGGGGGCAGGGCTGAAATGAAGCAGGACACTGTCCTCTCACTTTAACACTGACTTCTGTAGGCTGGCCACATTTCTGCATTGAAATCCCTGGGAATTTATATGGTTCAGGTGGGAGTTGCATTAATTCCCTGACTGTGGCTGCTGATGAACAGCTGCAGGAGGGTTTAGCCAATGGCAATAGGAGGGAGCAATGATGAAGTGTAAAGACAGCAGTTGTCACTTTTTTCCACAGATCCCCTGTGCATCCCCTGGATATGTATGTTTGGGAGGCCTTACATCTACAAACTCCGCAGGACTCCAAACACCATTGCCTTCATGTAATGCATAGCAGGAATTGCCAAGAGGGGAAACCATGATTTAGGTAGATTTTTCCACAGGAGTGGATGGTCTATACACTACTTTCACTGAAGTAGCTATAACAAGCTCTGAACAGATGAACTAAGATAGTGGAGGGTAAAACAGTGAAGGGATACTGCTCAAATAGTAAATAAATAACAAAACATACAAGGAAATGCCTTTCAAATTAGCAGCTAAAGTTTATTCACCTTGTTATGGGGATCTCAGAAGTTGGAGTCCAGCTAGACCATCAAGTTCATCCACTGCAAAGGCAGGACACAGGCTGATAGGAAACTGCAAAAGAAAAACAAAAATTAAAGAAAAACACTGACGCTAAACACAATATCCCAAGAGTATACTGGCCCCTGAGAAGTAAGAGATGATAGGAAATAGGTTGCCTCTTTGGGTGTGTAAGGCAGGTGATCCTCTTTTTCTTGTGGACTTGCTATAATTTCTGGGGATGACTAATACATTTGTGTGTGTGAAAAAGCAGCAGTTGTCTAGCTATGAAGATGACAATCAAACTAACAGAAACAATTGACCATAGTCTTCAAAAGTGATTAATAAGTACTATGCACACTCTGAAAAACAGGGCTTCTTTAAATTGTTTTACGTTAGATACATAAAATCGGTGGTCATCTTGAAAATCTTTGCCATACTTCTTTCTATCTAGGTCCTTACAGGGCCCTAAGAACCATGGTACCTGGGCACCTGTAATTCTCTACTAATATTGTTAGTATCCTTTCCTGAGCTTGCTGATGTTAAATAAAAAGGAATGTTTATTATAGTATGTTGAAAAGGATTCCGTTAAAAAAAAAAAAGATTAAGATCTGCAGGCCCATGTGGTTCTGGACATCTCTGCCCACCCTTTTTAGGTTTTAAAAACTCTGATTTTCATTTTTAACAGAAAATGAGAGACTTGGTCATTTACTCTTCGGAAGCTGACCTTTAAATAAAGCATTCTGCTCTCATGCCTCCACAGGGGATCACAGAGATATAGGAATATTTGTGTGCATATTGTAAGTGAGAAAACCATCTTATTCTATTCTGATTTCTCTGGAAAAGTGATGGTTAAGTCTGTGAGCATGGGTGACTAATGACTTTTCTTTTAGCAGGGAAAAAACTGGAGGAAAATGCTGAAATGATGCTTGGATTTGAATTGTACTGTTCACAAGCAAAACGTGTCAGGCATTGTAAGCACTAGTTGTAGTAATATTTTAATTAAAGTTGTTTAACTTATGTGGCCCAAAGCAAAGAAATATTTGTCTCCTCTGCATTTTAGATGTTGGGGGGGCATATTTGGGGGTGGAAGATTTCTTAGCTAAAAATTGACAAGCAGCTAAATGCTCTGAACTCTTAAAAACAGACAAGATTTTTATTTATGTTTTTGAATGTTACATTTTCCAAGAGGATATTAATACATATCTAAATATGCAGTATAAATGCATACGAGTCAATTTCACATTAATTTACATCACAGTTATTGGACAAAGGCACTTTAAAACCTAGAGACATTTCTGTATAATCATCTTTATCCTAAAAACTATTTTGGACTGCCAAATATGAAATGACATTGCAGTGCAGGCCTCCACTCTTTTGGGGAATGATGCAATGGATTTGTAACCTAAAATAAAACACGTGCCCCATGCTTTCCACCAGCAAAAAAAAAAAAAAAAATGGTGGGAATGGAAGACCAAAGTTACAATATCCATGAGTACTGAAGGAATCTTAGGAGGAATGTGTTACCAGGTGCTCAGAGGTGACCAGGCACTCAGATATTATGATGGGCTATATGAGAACCTAGAATATAAGTCACAGAAGAGGCTATGTGAAGCACTAAAAATCTTGGGGGAAATCACGGATCATTGCCGTTAATCATCTGGGTCTTCACACAGAAGGCCTACTTCAATTTGCTGATGTATTGATACCCTGCTGTATGCACTGTACTGCCTTGTCCTACACAGAGATCCATCTCTGAAAAACCAGAGTCCAAATGTACAGAGTAGATGTACATGGGTATCTGCTAGCTTGAGGGAACTGGGACAGTATATGGCTCCACTCCTCTTCAGGACAATTTGTACCCCAGTTCCTGCTTCTTTCCACCTCCCTAAGCTGTCCAGCAAAGGATACATTTTAAAATATCACACTGAAATGCTTTTTCAGCTGGTTTTGCATTGTAGTGTGTAGGACATTCCTTCTGAAATGAACAATAATAATACCATATACTAATATTTCACTGTTTATCCAGAAGAAACAAATTTTAACTTGCTTACAGAATATATAGGAGCATTACTCAGCAACATTATACAATACTGTAGGACAGTGAGCAAAGAATATCTTTCTCATTTTAAAATGAAGAGGACATTTAAGTAGATCTGAATGTAATTTCCTGTAATATAATATGATCAGCATAGCAAGGCATTACCTTGCAAGGTGGTGCAATGCCTTGCTTATTACCTTTTAAACATCAGAGTATTTGTTATCTGGTCACTATTCATAAAGCTTGCAATTTGCTAGAAAGTTGTAAATCAGCAGCAAAAGCAGAAATTCATGTTTGTTTTAGGTGAAATATTAAGTTCATATTGCTCATTGTCCTAGTGTCACTGCAGTGCACATGCATTCATTCAGATTTTTAAATTAACACATTTTTAACAGATTTGTATACAATAGAGCAGATGAAAAATTCATTGCATTTCCACTTGGATATATCTACTTCTGTTTCCAGTGTATAATGGTGCTAGGAAAAATTATTATTGACTCATGGTTCTGCTAGCTACAAGTGCTACTGAGACTGAGCTAGTGCAGAGCCTACAGCTTCATGCACAGGAGGCCTTCCAGAGTGGTGGAAGTATGAAGCTATCATACTTCCACATCTTGCTTACCTGGCTTCTTGCCTCATTAACATAAGTGATCCAATGTGATTGAGCAAAATGATGCATGATTTGTCCCTTTGGTCTCCTTCAAAGCGCTGCACAGAAGTTTCTTAGGCCATGTCTAAGCTAGAAAAATGTGTTAGCTAATGCATTTTGACTTGCATTTTAACACACTAGTGTAGATTGGGTGGTCATGGTCAACCTTAGGTTAAACCTTGTCTTCCCTAATGTATACAAATGTAATACATTAGACTGGATGTCTTTTTAAAAGCTATGCCCTAGCTCAATGAGAAGTTAGAGATTGATGGAGGAATCAGTGGATCACATCTATGGAGTGCATTATGCTGGTAGCCAGACTAGATGATTAAAATGGTCCCCTCTGGCCTTAAAATCTGTTAAACACCATTTCAGACACTTCCTATTGTCTAGTGAGGTGTGACAGCATACAGAGTATGTCTGTGCAATGTATGTGAACGGTGACTACAGCAGATTCTGATTTCTAGATAACGCAGAAAGGCTTCGGGTTCTTGAAGTGTAAACCACCTAGAAGCAATTCTAATTACTAAAAACAATATTCTTATTTTTGTACCACTCTACCACCTCTAATCTACACTCAAACTGAAAATATATGTAAGTGTCTTGTGGTCAGATTAGTAACAATGTTATTCTTACATTTTAGAAGTGTATATAGCATGCTGACCAATCCTGCACTGAACCACTTCCTAATGCTACTCTATCAAACCTGACCCAGAGGACTGCCTATCCTAGCATTACTACCACTGTTACCACTACTGGAGCTGCACTGATGGCCGGGCTGTGGTGGGAAATTTGAGGGGGGGGGGGAAATCCAGTGTAGATGACGCAACCAGAGCAAATATGCAGTTCTAACTGTGCATCTGTTCAGTCCTTGGTTTCTCTGTTCAGCTCAGATTGCCCATGTGGGTTCCAATGCATTTAATCTGGGATACTTTTTCCTGATGTGAATGCCGATCTTCTAGGAGCTGTACTAAGACCACTAACTCATTTCACATAGGCCACAGAAAAGCTATTATATTCTGGTTATTTACTATGAACCTAAACAGAAGGCATACTGGTGATATTTGCTCATTTGATTTTAAATCCCCAGGTGGAATTCATGGTGTACATGTATCCTAAATCCTTTGCATGCTCACTGTATCAAATCTATACAATAACACTTTTCATACAAATGTCTTGTGTTATTTTATAAAAGAATGACATATAAAAGCAATTTAAAAGGTTAAACTAAAAGGAGTATGTTTTTGTTCATCTTAAAACTTTTCCAAAGGCAGAACAGCAACCACAAGTGGATAAGGAATTAAATCAGAATAAGAGGGAAAAGCTCTTTCCACAAGCTTAGAAGTTTTAATTTGAGGAGGTTGTAAATGGCTTGGGGAAAAAAAAAGGTAAAAAACAGGGTCTAAAAAGCAGAAGCAAGATCACAGAGGTACAATGTGGCTTCCCCATGAAGTATCCTCGTATGAAATCAAATTCTGCTCTCAGTTACACCAGGAAAACTCCACTGACATCACTGAAGAATTTGGCCTAGAGTCTTTAAAAGTCAATCCATAGCTCTGTGTGAGAGAACTGGAAACCTCTCAAAACTGATGTAATGCCGTCTGGGGCCCACTTCTGGTGAATATCCAAAAATATTAATATCAGGTGAATGCAAACTTATTCCATGAACTGCTACAGTATTCCACAGATCAGAATGATTTGCAGTTGTCAAGACATTGGGCTAAAAAAAAAAAGTATCAATAAGTGATGAAACACTCCTCGAGATGCTAAAACTCACAGTATAACAATAGTTCAAGGATGGTGACTGGTAATGTTGACAGCCTAATACGGGCATTAAACAAAGTTCATTATGTAATGTATGGATGTAGATAGTATTTAATCTAGACAGCCATTTGACCATTAAAGATATAGTTGTGATCAGAGAAAAAAGAAAAGTGTGTGCATTTACAATATTCTAGAATGAACATCAGAAAGGCCTTTCTGCCAGCACTGAAGGACTTTCTTGTGGACCACCAGGAACAAAACAAAAATACTGTAAATCTGTCTTTTCTTGGCATTATTCTGGCTCTACAGAGAATCCTATTTTTAAACTTCAAAACTGTGTGTATTATGATCTATCACAGATCATAAAACACATAATTTTGAAGTTTAAAAATGCATAATGTGAATGGAAACAGATGTAGATAAGCGGGCCCAGAGTTTTAATAGGAAAAAATGTAGCACCCACACTAGAAGTATGGAAAACCAACAGTAGTAAAATGCTGCCGTGTAAATAAGTTTAAATACTGAAGGAAAATTCCTTAGTTACAGACTGCTGACAGGGAGTTATAAGAGTAAAACTGACAAATGGGTCACAGATATGGAGGCCACTGAAGACAGAACTAAATCATTCTTAATGCTAGAAGTAGGATAGAAAAAACCTGATTGAAGTTTTTCACATAAATCATTTGCTGAGATGCTCATGAAACAAGATAGCAACGATCTTCTCCAAAACCTTCATGAAATCAGAGAATGAATTGGCAGCTCGCAATTAATTGGGGGGAGGGGGTCAAGTTTCAGATGATATAGGGTACTTTGTTCAGATAGGACCGAAGAGTATATTAGGTAAGAGATTGATTTAACGGTATTTCAGGTTACACGGTTAAAGCACTCAGATAAGCCATGGATGACATTCCTGACTTCTGCAGTAATTAATAAAGGTAATGTGAATGAAAAATCAGATGCTGAATAACAAGAACTATACACCAACATAAAAGGAATAGGAAATGAACACATGGTGACTGAATACACACAGTGGTCATTTTGTCAAAACAACAGCAGAAGCAGCATAAAACAAAAATTTACGAATTAAATATTTGCAGATATCAGGAATTATGAGAGTGCTATTCAGAATTTTAGAAAATGAAGAGCTTGAACTTGGAAGCAGGTTAATAATTGTACTAGATCATATCCAAAAATAATAAAATCAATCACATTTTCCTTAGAACATTTTGATAATACTTCCAAACAGAATGGGGAAGGTAATATAAGTAGCTTTCCACTAATTCTCCAGGCCACCCAGCAGCTTCTTAAAAACAAAACAAAACAACTTTACATTCAGTTGAGTAGACCTATGGCTTTGCAAGAGGGGTAGTACTTGAAAGCAAAGTGAAAATAAAAATTATGAAAATGAGAGTTATGCAAATTTGCTGCCTTTCCATGAAAGGCAGTGAATCACACAATTTTTAATGCTTTACACAAGCAATAATCGTCAAGGTCACAGCTGTTTTACAAAGAGGTCAATTGTATTTCCTGTCAGTTTGTAAGTGCCTTAGGTCAGTTCTCAAATAAACATCATGTCCTTCAGCCAGTCATTGTCGTGAATCAGTAGCTTTCCAGGTGAGCCAGAATGGAAAAAGAATGTTCCCCAGCAGCTGTTTTCACAAGCACAGTAACAAGTATGCTTAAGAATCTCCAATCCTGCAAGCTCCTTCACATGCACTGTCTTCTGGGTAACTTCAGTGGGGCTCTGGTGGCATAGGGGTCATGCCGTGCATATGAGCCTGTAAGATCGGGACCATAGTGTCCCAACAGAAGGTCTGTCATAGTGACTGAGGAAGGAGTAGCAACCCTTGGTCCTCTCCTTCATCCTTTTCAGGCTAGTACAAATCCATTTTACTTTACTACTTCCTCCATGTCTTCCCCTGTCCTTACTCCCTTCCACTGGTCCTGATATCCTTCTGCCTCAGTTAGATTTATCCATTGCCCTCACCTGCACCCACTTTGTGCTTCTCTATTGCCCCCCCTCCCCGCCTCCAAGATGTTCCCAATTATGTCTGTTGGTTTGCTCCATCTTGCATCTCTGGATTAAAATTCCTGTTCTGTCCTAGAAACTTCACCTTCCCTAGAACCTGCTTTCCAACAGAGCCCTGTAGTCTGCTCTCTCTGCCCCCAAAATGCTGGAGCCTTAGGTATCCTTAAGGCTCACTCAGCTCCAAATGAAATTAAGAGTCTTTCCATGGACTTTAATGGGAGATGAATTGGGGCCTTCGATAGAAGTCTGGCATTGAACTCAACCAGCTAAATGGAGGTAAAACAGGTTAGCCTGGATCTATACTAGGGAAAGGACTGTGATTAGATTGGGTTAGCCAACACATGCTACACTTAAAAAAGAAAAGGAGCAAAAGAGTGAAGTAAGTGTGTGTGCGCATGCATGCCAGATAGCTGTGCTGGTGTGAAGGATCCAATTCTGTGAGCGACTGAACCCTTTTCAATGACAGAATCAGGCATGAATAGAAGAGTGAGATTACAGGAAAAGGAAATTGCTCATCAGAGACAGGAAAATGTGCACAATGAAACTTAAAATCTCATCATATAATCAAATACAAAATGCAAGTAATGCCAAGAGCCTGCCTATGTCGAGCCACCAAATTCATCATAGCCTTATAGTGAACAAAATGCAAGTTCATACCTGGCTAATGAACCAAAACATAGGGCCGGTGTAACTTGACAGATCCATTGACTCCAATGGAGCTGTGCCTAGTTACGCCAGCGAGAATTTGGCCCATAGTGTTTACTGGAGGAACAAAAACAATGTTGAGTGCTGAATCTAGCAGTCACTAGGATTTGCATTGTAAAAACATTGAGGTGTTTTTGTTTGTTTGCACTTCTTTTGTAAAAAATACAAGACATCTCAGCTGTGTTTGGAGATTATCTTGAAAAGGTTTAAGTTCTACTGAAGAGGCTTTCTGAAGAGTCGGATATAGTACAATAACAAATGGTTGAAATGCTGTGACAAATAAGACAATAGAAATGCTTTATAAAGAAACTGGAGGAAACTTAACTGGTTTAATTGAGGAGGAGGAGCAGCAGCATTTTGAAGAAGGCATTAGGGATGAAGTCACATACACCAGTGCACACAAATAACTTTGTTGTTTTTAAGTTTTGTGGAAACATCTGGCAACAACATGCAGCAAAGAGGAAACTTTTCTGTTTTGTGCATCAATATCTTGCTGTGAAGAGAAGAAAACTTTAGCTAATTACAGGATGCCTGCACAAGAACCACCACCTTTATGTTTCACAACTAATTTTTCCTGTGATTCAATGTCTAATATAAAATTGGTAGGGTGTAATGTGGGGAAAGCGTTGGATAGAATACTGTGCAAGACAGATGAAATTCAGCTATTGGCAAAGGAGCCATACAAGGATCTTTGTGCTGCAGACCCCCTGCCCCTTCCCCCCACCAATACTGTATTTGGCAGGGCAAGGAATGAATTGGCTATGCACTGAGGCTTTCATACCCCCTGCATACCCTCTTCCAGCTTTGAATAAGCTGGTATTGAGGGGAGTGCTGAGAGAGGGGCCAATGATCCAGAGGCCAGGAACATCTGCATAAAAGAGATACATATATAGCCATATGTTAGAAGTTGTACAGCACCCAACAAAAATAGCTAATTTTTATATGCTTCTGTGGAAGAGTCTGGAATGCTTCAGTAAGAACAGTGTTGTAACAGGAGCAATAAAGTGGAATTCAAAAACAGCTATGATGTTAATACAATGGACATTTGAATTCATAGATTCTAAGCCAGAAGGGATCATTATGTCCATCTAGTCTGACTTCCTGTATAACACAAGCCAGAGCACTTCCAAAATAATTCCTAGAGTAGAGCTTTTACAAAAACATCCAATCCTGATTTTAAAATTGTCAGTGATGGAGAATCTACTACAACCCTTTGTAAATTTTTCCAATGGTTAATTACACTCACTGCCAAAAAAAATTTATGCCTTCACAGTCTGAA